GAAATACCATTTCTGGTCACAAATGTAACTTATTGCATTTCGTGTATTTTTCACGTGATCGGACATGATATCCGGTAGCACAATATCCGTCGTCACAATATGTCTCATATTTGTTTTAATTATATAGTCTTTTTTGAATGATTATCTTGAAGTTAGCTTAGAAAAATATAACCCCATGATAAGCTAATTTGATGCTTTAGTCATTACTCTTTTATTTTAAAACAAGAAAAGTCACACCAAATAATTTTCTATAATTTCGAACTCATTTTATTTTCTGATAGTATTAAGATGCCATCAGAGAACGAACTGAGTTTAAAATATGCTAACTTTTTAATGAATTGTGTTATTTTGGCTCATAATATAACAGATCTGACCTGTTGTAAACCCTAATCTATCCACATTAAAATTAAATAGTTTAATCTAAAACAAACAAATATGTGCTAAGTGCTAGGAAAAGGATCCAAATTGACAATTTTTTCAAAAGTAATTTTTTTGCATAATTCAATTTAGAATAAAATTAAAATCATTTTTTACTTAAAACACAAAAGTAGTTATATTAATAAAATTTTATAGTATAACTTTTTAATGTTTACAATTTCTTATGATTTATTATAGGATTTATAACATAAAAATTAATTTTCTGAAGATTTTTTTATTGTTAATTTGGGCCCTTTTCTCAGCACTCAGCCTATATAATTACATGACTTAATCTCTGCCAATTTTAAAGCAAAGATAATTCTTATCATTGTCTCATTAAATTGTGTACTATTTAAGATCACACTATTGCATAATAAAATGTTAAAGAAAAAATTGTTCAAAGATACTGTACTAGATCTAATAATGAAAGAGGCATGAAAAATGCCAGAAATTAGGGTTGTCTTTATTTCAGAGGAAAACATCTTCCTATATACATATACTGTAGTAAAATTCAGTATTGACAGATGTTATATGTATATTTCAGCATTGATGGATGCTGAAATATGCTATATAATTTGTTAGACCCTATTTAACATTAAAGCATATGAGAAATTTATTAGTTTGATTTATTCTTTCAACACAGTGTCTAAGGTTTAAAACTAAAATTATAAATACAGATACAGTAAAATAATAAGTACAATTGAAAAATAAAATTTGCAATCTTTTATAGTCAAACAATTATGTTTTTCTACTTTAAGAGTTATTACTAATAAAACAAAAAAAAATAATAATAAATATTAAGCAAAGTATGTAAAAACTTGGTAAGAGCTTAAGTTAACAAACTAGCTGTTTATTATTACAACCAATAATAATATTATTAAAGTAAGTACTGGGTATACCATTGTTATAAGATGAACACCAATAACTGACTTCATTGTGGTTTTTATACATCTTCACACAACATTTATCATGAGAAGGACTGTTCCATCTATAAGATTTAATCGTATAACCAGATTTAAAAAGTCCTCTCTGCTTGCGAGTTTTAGAAGTACCTTGGAAGTTGTTTTTTGAATAAGCTTGAAAAGAAAATGCAGTTGCAAGTAGAATAATCAACAAGATAATAATAAATTTGTAAAGCATGATTACAAAATATGTATTATTGCCAAACTTGTTTAATTTGTTAAAAAATTATAAAATATTAATCTACATATATATAAAAGTAAAAAAAATCAAATCAAATAAATCATAAATATACTTGAATAAAATGCCTTGTATTGCCAAATTTGCTTATGAATTTAAATAAAGTTTATATGCCATAATAAAGTCAAGGATATTTATAGTAATCTGTTATATAAGTAAACATCTAAAAAGTATTTTATGTTTCTCAATTAAATAATGCAGAAAGTATATTTGTGCTTTATTAATAAATTATTGATGCATTCTCACTGATCACCCAACAAACTGATTGATCCCATAAAAAATTAAGCACTGTTAAGCAAACAATCTCATGATCAACATAAAGTATAATTCATGTTCTATAATAATTAGGGTTGTTAATAGAGTAGTTTGCTCCGGAGCACTTTAGAGTAAAATCCAACCCAAGTTGGAGTGGATTTAGATTTATGTTTTTAAATTTGGAGTAACTTGGAGCAACCTGAAGCAGTTATGGAGAAACTCAGAGTAAACCACTGGAGCAAGTCTAGTTTACTGAAGTGTGTTGAGGTTTGGGTTAACCCAAACCAACCCAACTCAACCCATTAACAATCCTAATAATAATTATTAATTAACTGAGTCATATTTTTATTTATTGGTAAAGATTGTACCTGGCAAAAATTTTAGCTCCAGGTTACTTAAAATGACTCAAGTAACCTGGGTAAACTGGTTGACCTGATTACTTTTCGTAAGAAAAGTATATCTGACATAGTGAAACATTGTAAGTAAATTTTATTTGTTAATTACTATCATTATCATTATATAATTTGATTTTAATAATAAAACAATTAAGGCTATTCACATATCATGCCCAAATTTATCCAAAAAATTATCTAATTTCCATATTTCTTGACTAAACACTGCAGAATAAAATTCTTTTTTTTCTTCATCTACATTGTCAATTATACAAATAAAATTAGAATCTTGGTGAGACATTTTATCATGAAAGAACTTTTGTAGTATTATATTGTCCTTTAATACTTTGTTATCTGGTTCTATAGTAGGATTTTCAGTTATCCATATCAGGTAAATGCATAAGCACTCAATTGGAAATGCACTGGAACATTCCCAATCTATGACTTCCATAATTTGACTAGAATGTTTGATGAGTAAAAGTCTTCATATGTTAATACAAACATGTTGTTTTCACCATTCTGAAAATATTTTGGTACTAATTTACATAGTTCTTCATATTTTAGAATCCAACACATTTGCTTATTTTTAGATTTAAAAGGTTTATAGTAATGAATCTAATTATAAATAACAGGTAAAATATATTCTCATGTTGTGTTGAAAGGACCCTGTTTTACAGTAGGTAAAGTTACTCGTTTTTCAGTAAAAAAGTTGCTTTTAATAACTTGACCAATTTTAAAACCATTTTTATCACAAAAAAAATACTACCAATTTTTGAAAATGTGAATTTTTTAAGTTCCAATAGGCTGTGCAAAATGCTTAAAAAATAAAATAACTTCACATAATAAAAAATTTTTGCACTGCATATTTGTGTAGAATTTTTAACACTGAGTCTCTATTTCTAGAAATGTGATCCTTTTAATTTGTTTATACAAATTTAAACAGTTTTACAACAAAATTTTTAAATGGATTGCATCATATTTTCACTGTAAAATTCTTAACTGAAGAATATAAAATTTCTTCCAATATTCATAAGAGTACTTATTAAAAAAAAATAGAGAAATAGATTAAAACACTTTAATTATTTAAAGTTATTCACACTGGTAAAATTCTCAAGAACACTAAAAATGACAAAATAATTATCACAGTTCTATAATAACTGTAAGTAAAAAAGTAGAAGATTATTAAAAACATGATATCGGGTGTTGGTGATTGGTAACAAAAGCAAAATTTAATGCTTCTATATTACTTCAAAGATTTTTTTTCTAAATTAACAAATAAATATTTTTTATCACTTTACACATATAGTGTTCACTACTTCACTTTGAACAAGATTCTTTAATTAAATTGATTACTGAGTAAATATATTTATGTATATTTAGCAAATAAAATTTTTCAATGTATATATATTTTATATATTTATTTAAAAAAGTGAATAATTTTAATATAATATTGTAGAAAAAGCCCAGCAAAATTGAATGTAAAAACTTTTTTAAAAAATTAAGGCATTCAAAAAATGCAAAATGAATACAAACTTAAAAATGAATTAATTACTAATTGTAATAAAATTTTAGAAAATCCAAAAAGATTAATATATACTAACAGTAATAAGGTAAGTAAAAAAATTATAACTATTTTTTTTACTTTTCTTTGAGTCTCAGATTTCTTGAATTTCTTATTTATTTCTTTAACTTTTCTTATTATTGTATGCATGTTATCCTTAACAGAGTCCTGTTTAGTTAGAAAGTATCTTTCGATAAAATAATCAAGTTCTTGAATATTTGTAAATAAAATATTGTTTGGCAAACTTGCACATTTTTTAACAGTAATCTGCAAGAAAGTGACAGGAACTGATGTTACATGAATAGCCACAGTATTATCTGGCAGCAACTTATCAATAATTTCAAGAAATTGTTCAATATTACAAACTTTAAGTATTTTTTTAATCTTGTTGTTGCAGTATACTAAAACATAATATTTTTTGTGAATTCCAAACAAAATATTTCCTAATCTATAAAGAAAAAAAAATTTTATAAGTAATTATCATTAATTGCATTCTATTTACTACAACCTCTGCACGAAGCAGGACAAGCTTTTCAGAACAAACATAACAGAGAAGGACATTCACAGACATTGCATGTCTGTGGCCACAATGTGCTTCTAGTTCTCTGATGTCACTCTAGTGGCAGCATAACTTTAGATACATAACAAGAAATTAACTTAGTGATTTCTTACCTAAATTCAAGAATAATTTTACTGTTTCAGTCCTATGCAAACTTTGTCAGTGAAATCAGCTAAATCAGTTAAAGCATTTTTAAGCAACATTATAACTAACACTAAAAACATTATAAAAAACAAATCTCACATATATATCTGACCTTTAATTTTCTTACAATTTCAGGAGTGAAAAAATTGGATTTCATAAATTAATTGGCATTAATATATAAAAGTGTCTAAAAAACATAAACTTCAGTAAATAAGATTGAAGCAAGAAATAAGTTCTTATTAAATGCATAACAATAGGTTCAGTTTGAACTTTCGGTCTTTATAAAAGAAAAAAAAGACTTACTAGTTTTTTTAATGTAATAGTAATTTGTTGTTATTCATTATCGTTATAATTTTGATTTAGATGCTGATAATTATGAAGATGTGCCACTAAAAAAAATTCAGATATCACTATGTTAATCTTAACTATTTGGCACTGAGGTGTGACTAATTATAGGATATTACAAATAAACATTTACTTATAACCATCACAGTCATAATAAATTATTATTTGTTATAACTTATAATTGGTTATGCCCAGTTCCAAGTCTCTAAATAATTAATGAATAAAATTTTATTTACAGGTTTTCCTACATCACTCAAATTTGGCTCTGATCAGCATTTTGTTAATTTCAGTAAAATACAATATAGTATCAAATATTATATTTAACTGAAATTACCAAATCAGTAATTATTTTTTATCCAGCAACTTACTATGATCATACCAACAGAATAACTCGAGTTATTTTAATGATGATTGCAACATTATCAAATAACTTTGTTATTTGATGATGATGCAATCATAACCAAAAGAACTCGAGTCATTCTGTTGGTACGATTATAGTAAGACACTGGATAATACAGTTATTGAATGCTACCCAGCCAACAACTAAAGCTGATATATTAAACTTAACAGCCAGATAATAAGTTATTTTCCAAATAATTTTTGTTATTGGCTGCTTTGCATCCAATAGCTATACATTACTGTATGCAATTTTTTTAAAATGTTCCTGTGTTAGAATTATTGCGCTTTGCAAAAAAGTATAACCCTTACAGATTTCAAATAGATAGAAATATTATTGATTGAATATATGATTGGTAGAGTATTTAGAATCTCAACAGATAACATAGATTTTTATAAGCTATCTGATAAAAGTTTGAAAAAATTAGAAGAGAGCTTTTAAAGATTATATAATTTAAAGTTTTTATGATAAAATTTTTTCTATTAATGCCAATTATTCATATATATAAACCTTACCAAAATCATATATACTTTTTAATTATCATTTATAACTGAATCTGTAATTAAATGAAAAGTTTATAATGCTTATTAATATCAATATAGTTAATTTGAGAACTAATTAATGAATAAAACAGACTTTTAGTTGTATTCCAATTTCTTCACTCATTTTTAACAACATTTCTAGACAATACTAAAAAATTTTAAAAATGCCTCAGTTAAAAGTGCCTAGATATATTAAAAGTTGAACATACTATAATATTTCCTTAGCACTAGAGACTTATTGTAATATCAATTATGAGCATCTTTATATGCTCATCGAAGTAGTAGAAAATTTGTGAAAAGAATTTGGTAAATCAATCAAACAAAAGAAATCAAAAATGACCTGAGAAAACTAGCAAGTAAACTTAATACTCATAGTAGTTATTTTATAAAATATAATTACAATATACTTAAATCTGTTGAACATTATCTTTTTAAACAAGGATATTACATTTTTGAGAGGATAATGTCATTGCTTCTGCTTAAGTATAATTTAGGTGCTGCTAATGAAATTACAAAGTTGTCACTAACACTATCAATAACATTATTGGTTACAATACCTGAAGACTCTATGGATTCATTTTATAATAGACAAGTCTTTGTAGTATATAAAGATACAATTTTTTAACCTAGCTTAGCTCTCCGACATGCTACTTAATTCTATAATAACAAATATTTTTTATGATCAAATATTACCTGAAATCTTATTAATTTACACAAATAGTGGGCCAGATCATAGATGTACTTTTGGTTCAGTTCAAATTTCATTAATATATTTTTTTCTTAAAGGAAATTTTGATATGTTAATAGCTGCCAGAACTGCACCATATCATAGTTTGGCAAATCTAGCAGAATGAATTATGTCAATAGTTAATCTTGCATTACAAGATATAGCTTTGTAATGAAATCAAATGAGTAAAGATTCTGAATTAGAATTTGCTCAACTTAAAACATTAGAAACTATTCATCAACAAGCAATATATAATCTAAAATTAAAAAAAGAATTACAGGCATCAATTAAAAATATTTAAGAAATTTTAAATAAAAGAACACAATAACTTAAACTTCATGATAATTATTTTCTTACTAGAAATACTGCTATAGAAATAGGAATTGAAGAGTTTTTTAAGGTATTTATTTATATTTATACAATATTTTTTAAAAATTTATAATCAAAATATACAAATTTAACTATTATTGTATGCAATTTTAGACTATTTTTATAATCGATCCAAGTCTTGAGCAAACAATGACAACTTTAAATTCTTTAAATAAACAGCAGTTTTATAATAATTTTTTAAAGTCTCATTGTCAAACCTGAACCTATACTTTTTAATTCAAAAAATGTACTGATAACAAATGTTATATATGCCAACCAATCTGAATGCCACTTGATCAATTTGAAAATTTTTATTTTTTGCCTGATCCTAAACTTTCTACAAGTAAGAATATATAGCTAAAGAATTATAAATTTTGTATTTAAGTTAAAGAATTCTATTTACAGATAAAAAACATTATAAAGAATTTGATGAATTATATGGACAATCAACAAGTGAAGAATATCAGTTATTACAACAAAAAATTAACTGTAAAGAATCAGAATCTTATACTAGAAGATTTATAAATACAAAAATTCAACTTCTAGTTTGCTGTAATTTTTGTGTAAAATATTGCTGCATTTATAGTGATACATCTTTAAATAAAAATGATACTAAGATAATTATACAATACCTTAAAAATATTTCATATAGTTGTGGATCTCCACTTCTTTCAGATAAACACTTACTTTCTAATCAACTTTATATATACCAAGATATTACTTGTGATTTATTTATTGAGCGAAAT